AACCCTTCGCCAACGGAGTTCGTGGATCAGACAGGCGATCACAACGATTGCTGGTACAGTGTAGAGAAGTCCAAAAATGCCTAGTTTGATCATTAGCTTTTCGAGCTTGTCCGTGCCTACTCGTGGCTGAAATTTGATGACATGCCGAATGTTGCATAGTGCCACGAAGCCACCCAGCAGAAAGAAAGTACCAAAACAGAAGTAAGTGCTTAATGGAAGGAGAAGGAAATATATGAGGTGATTGTCGCTTGTAGCCCCAACATAGCAAAGTCCCCCAACTGGATCACCGTCCACAGCTCGGAGCATTAGAACAACACCGGTTTGTACGCCAGGAAGGACCCAAGCCACAAAGTGGAATACCTGTTGAAGGTAAAGATTTGCTTTTCAGTTTCAGCGTTTACTTTATATTTCCGATTATTTTATTATTTTTCTACACTTAGATAATTTTTTGGAAGATAAATTTAAATTAGATTCCCCTTTCTCTCTAAATGGAGGTAATTACTTTAATTTCCACTACCATAAAGAGCGTCTTGGTATCCACATTCTTATCTAATCTTACATGCAGCTTGCGATAACCTTATTCACTCCTCATAGTATTTCTACAAATCGCATTTCCTAACAGTTAAACCTCATTATTTAGTCATTCCTCATAATGATTATTGCTATATTATGGGTACTCAAATTTTAAATTTAGAATGGCACGTACTTGTGTGTACTTTGAAATCGCCTCATTTCCCCACTTCAATCCAGCAGCAAGGAACCATGTGACCGTCAAAACTACCCACCACACGCACGAAGCCATTCCAAAGTAGTAGATGAGCAAAAACACTGTGGCACAGGCTGTTTTCCCAGAAAGTGAGAACTGCAGAATACTGGCTGTGGTAAACATTCCTCTCTGCTGACTACTTTCACCTCTCAGGAGTGTTGTAACTGTCGTGCATGCCACTCCATCGTGTCCAACCACCATACGAAGAATGTAGCCGATGGAGACAAAAAAATAGCAGGTGGAGAGGTAGATTATTGGCTGACCCGGGTACTGGAATCTACTTGGGTTAGTTAAGTAGGTAAGCATTGTTATTAGTGTTGAAACGCCACAGATAAGGGACCACAACCACAACCAGAAATCTACAAACTTCTGATCTGCTTCTGTCTGGAAGTGGATAGAATGACAGGGCAATGCACAACCCTGAAATCCTAGCGTTGATATTTGGGTCAACTGACTGTCGTTGTTAGCAACAACAGGCACCAAGGGGTGACGACAGTCGCAGGAGCAGTCAAGCCAAGCACCGGCAATGCTAAGAGCCTCCAAATTTCCGCCAGCATCCTTGCTAGCCCTGGCTGCCATTTCCAGCTCTCTAGACATAGCGTGGTCCCTTGCTGTCGCTCTTTTCTCTTCCACTACCGTTGGAGTTTCACGAGCCGCTTGCAATGACTCAAACTCTACTCTCTCGGCGTTGGTGAGATTTCGCTCCATACAGAGAATGCCCTCAGGATTGTCCAGTTCAGGAAACTGGTCACACTGCATTCTGTCAGGCCACGTAAAGGCGTAGTAACCCATAATGGGACCGCAGCCGGCTTTGGCGCGCTCACAGACTGATCGGCAGGGTGGTAGCGATTGGGTGAATCCCTCCATGCAGATGGGTGTGTAGATAGAGCAGATCAGGAAGTGGAGGTCCTTTGAGCAGTTGATGTGAATCAGGGGATAGAACTGGTGTGCCTATTTAAGTAAAAAGTATGTTTACGTTGTATGATTTTGTCTTACATTCGTTTCCGGGTAGGGCTATTTAGTTGTCTACTGTTTCCCTTTTACTTTATATTGCTTCATGTGAGACCGAAACAAACATATTTCAGAAGTGCCGTGTATTACCCATAGGTCCCCGCAGTTGCGCCTTATAAGTAATTTTGCTTCGGCATTTAACAGCAAACTGATTATGTATTTTCTGTAGTAATGACTTCCCAATTTCTTATAGCGTTTATTGAAAAAAAAAATGAACCAAGCCATAGAAGCAGTTTGGTGACTTGGAAAGGTTTGGACTCTAGATTTGAACCAAATTACTTGGGTTCACTGAATTTATGAAATTAAAATGAGGAGCATACACCTTATTACATTTTATGTATCACAATCTTGACAATATCTCATACCCTTCCTTATCTCCAATCCGTGTTCTGATAAGACCTCAGTGACATTAATATAAAAATCCAACTATTTAGCATTCGCTGATATAGCAACACTCCATTTTATATTGCACAATAATTGGGTGTTTTTAATTTATTAAGTCATGCTTGTTTTGTCAATCATGAATTCCGATTTATTTGACACTTATCAGTCAATGTCATAAGTTCGTCAAATTCCACAATTTTGACACTGCTTTAAAAAGACCACCGGAACAGTCTGATAAATCATAAAAAGTCTGTACTTCCACAGTTAAAGAGATCGAAGCCAAAACAGAAACCATGTCACTAGACTGCATCCAAAAAAAATCCAACATTTCATGTCCATAACGTTCTTAGTTGTTTAATACCCGAGTTTGGGATCCCAAGAGTTCTATTTCTTAGTTGCAAAGTGCACTGATAATAATTAGTGGCTTTACTGCCTCCCTTTTTCAGTTAAAGGTGAGGGTGATTAATATTTTTTTCACTCTATGGGAAGTTAACTGGCCTAGAACCCAGTTAGGGTCCAGATTGCAAAAAAGGGGGACTATTTATTCAGCTGTAGGAATGGGCAAAATCATCTCCTTGTTCCCTCCCTCCTTCTACCTCCTTCCGTCGTTCTACTCTCTCCTTCTTCCCTCGTTCTACCTCTACTCTCG